GCAGGGAGCCCGATGCGGGACTCGATCCCGGGACTCCAGGATCATGACCTGAGCCGAAGGCAGTCGCTTAACCAACTGAGCCACCCAGGCGCCCTAAGTGTACGTCTTCTTTACCTCTTGTTTAAATGTGGCTGATAGAGAATCTGAAGTAACACGCACGGTTCACCTGCTTCCCGTTGGACGGGCTGCTCCACACCTCTAGAGCTGCCGGCCGCCGGGGCCTGTGTCAGCTCGAACTGAACTGAAATAAAGCTGCATGTTCTCTTCTGCAGCCACAGTAGCCACGTGTCAGCTGCTTAGTGGTCACGTGTAGCTGCTGCCTCTCCTACTGCACAGTGCAGGTTTAGAACATTCCTATCTTTCTAGAAAGTTCTATCAGGTAGCAATGTTCTAGAGTAGAATTAGATGATAAGACCCAAACAAACAAACAGACGAGAAAAGAACTAATAGTTTGTTTGAAGGTGATAACTATGGAGAAAAATCAAATGGGAAGATAAGGACCGTGGCTTGGGGGTGGTGAGGTGTGGGTGATTGGGTGACACGTGAGCAAAGTCTGAAAGGTGAAGGAAGGCTCCGTGAACACTGGGGAGGTGCGTGTTAGGCAAAGGGCCTGTGGCACGTGAACTGTCAGGAGGGCAGAGTGAGAGAGGTGCTCAGGCATGTTCAGGCTGAATTCAGGTCCAGTGGCCCAAGCAGCTGTCAGGTGGAATGCTGGGGAGGGACAGGCGGACGCCTTCAGGCTTCTTTAGAGCCTGGTGGGGACTCGGCCTTCCCTAGGCAGGTCTGCAGATTGCAGCAATGTTCAGGTTAAACGAACAGACCTAGGAGGGTCAGCGTGGCAATGATGTTGGAGGTGAGGGACAGACTTGTGGGGGATGCAAAATGGCCCAGGCCACTGAGGATCAGGGGTCACAGAGACGAGGAGGGGCAGACAAGGAACTTCCAGGGAGGCTCCTGGGTCCCCTGGGGACAGTGAGGCAAGGAGGGTGAGGGAGTGGGTGGGGCCACCAAGGCGCAGGCACAGCTTGGGTGCTGCCCCTGACCTGGCCCGCTGAGGAAATGGGCAGGTCACGGAGGCCAGGGAGGGCAGCTTTGAAGGGGCCCACAGGAGGCTTGGGGTACAGCCTTGGTGCAGGGTAAGGGTCCCAGTGTGACCCACCCTCTCTCCTCCCCTATCCCACTCCCCTCCCCAGGTACCACAACGTGGGCATCCTCGTGCTCTTCCTGCATGACATTAGCGACGTGCAGCTGGAATTCACCAAGCTCAATGTCTACTTCAAGTCCCGCGGCGGCTCCCATCACAGGCTCCACGCTCTGGCGGCCGACCTGGGCTGCCTCAGCTTCAGCCTCAGCTGGTGAGGGGGCAGGGAAGGGGGTGGGGCTGGCGAGAAGGGGTGGGGCCTGGTGAGGTGGGCGGGGCCTGGCGGGACAGGGGCGAGCCGGAGGCGGGGCAGAAGCAGGGTTGGGCGGGGATGGAGACAGACGGGCAGGGGTGGGCAAGGAGGGGGCAGGGGGACCGGGATGGGTGGGGGTGTGCAGGGACAGATGGATGAGTCCAGGTGGGACAGCACAGGGCCCAGGTGGGGCAACCCTCCACCTCTCCCCGACAGCTTCCCCAAGCCCCCCTCCCCGCTGCAGGTTCTGGTTCCGCCTCTACTGGTTCCCGCTCAAGGTTCTGTACGCCACGTGCCACAGCAGCCTGCGCTCCGTGCCTGACATCCCCTTCTACTTCTTCTTCAACGCTCTCCTTCTGTTGCTCACCCTCATGAACCTCTACTGGTTCCTGGTGAGTCAGCAGCCCACAGCTCCTTGCCCACCCAGTGGTTGGTCCCCAAGCGGTGGTCCAGGCACAGGCCCTTCTCAGGCACGCCCAGGGAGGGGCATATTCGGCCCTGGGAACAGCACGTGCAAAGGTCCGGTGGCAGGAGCACACAGCCATCGGGAGGGCGGCAGGGTCAGGGAAGTGGCTTTTTCTCACTTGTGCGCCCCCCTCCCCGCACAGTACATCGTGGCTTTTGCTGCCAAGGTGCTGACAGGCCAGGTACGCGAACTGAAGGACGTGCGGGAATACGACGCGGCAGAGGCCCAGAGCCCCAAGCCCAGCAAAGCTGAGTGAGTGTGGAGGGGCCGCCGCCCCGGTTCATTCCTTTAGCCACATCTGTCTGGTGCACACACTCTGGGGGCCGGCCCTGGAGACAAGGCAGCGGATGAGGCTGCCATGGACACTGCCCCCGCCCCCAGAGCCTCTGTCCCAGGGAGTGCAATAAAGCCGTGGAAGCTTAGCGACAGAGTTAGATGCGTCAGGCCAGACAGGAAGTGGGTGGAGCAGCCTGGGGGTGGGGCAGGTTGGCGAGGGTGGAGAATCCGGGTCTCGGTGGTAGGAGCTAGGAGCATGAGGGCCAAGCTGAGTCACTGGCCCAGTGGGTGAGCAGCCATGATCCAGGTCAGAGGGGAGCCTCTAAGCAGGTGGCAGTGGAGGTGGGGAGGACGGGGAGCCATGATGGCCCAGAGAGCCCACACTAGGTCCGTGTTGACGCTCCCTGGCCTTGAGGCCCAGCAGGGCAGCCCACAGGGCAGTCAAGCAGGAGAGGGGGCTGGGGGCTCAGACCCAGTCTGGCCCAGGCGGGAGTCCTAGGGAAGGAGGGGAAAAGGGGCCTCATCAAGCACCATGGAGGTAGGACCCCTGGGATTCGCCAGCCCCAGGTTGTAAGCCAGATGATGTCCAATGCTCCCAGCCTGGAGGGGCCCCAGGAGTGAATGGAGGCAGTTTTGGGTGATCAACAGAGTCTAGGGTGTACAACACCCCAAGATGGGGGGCTGCTGTTGGCTTGCAAGGTACCAAGTCAGTGGACCCTGTGATTTGGCTTCTGGGGGGCTCATCAGCGACCGACCTGAGAAAGGGGGTTTCAGGGAAGCAGTGTGCTCAGAGCTCGATGAGATGGGTCAGAATGGGCTGTGAGGAGGATGAGAGAAGCAGAGATTTTAAAAATCTCCTTGGAATACATAAGAAGGGGAGGAGAGAACCAGCGGGTTCCAGAGTGGAGAGCTGAGGGCTCTCTGGCCAGTTTACATAAATAAAAGCACTTTGCAACCCCCAAGCGTGGCACTACTGGTGGGGGGGTGCTAAGGCCAAAAAGCCAGCGCCCAGGCCAGAGAGGGACCAGACAGGCGAGCAGGGATCACGGACATGAGAGGACTGGACAGCAGGTGAGGTCTCCGCAGCTGGATGGTGTGGGGGCCTGTCGGCCAGGGTGACTAATCACCACGCGGCCGTCCCTGTCATCGGGACGGGTGGGCACAGGGGCCATCACCAGGACGAGTGTGGTCAGATCCCAGCTCTGCTATAGAACCTACCAGACTTGTTTTAGGTGAACCAGAAATAAAAAAAACAAAGACAATCCAAGACTTCCGGCTCGAGCTGCCATTTACCGAGATGGAAGTTGGGGCTGAGTTGGGGTAGGGCTGTGTGCACCGGCCAAGGGGGGTGGGCAGGAATCAGGCATCTAGTTTGGGGGCTGTTTGATCGTCCGATGTCCAGGGAACATGAGTTAGGAATTCCACGAAGACATCAATGAGGTCTCACCAAGGAGTCTGACCAACCCTCAGAGAAAACCTCAGAAAAAGCAACAGCTAAAGCAGCAGGTGCGAGAGGGGAGCACCTGCTTGGCCAAAACGAAAAACTGGAAAGATCTTCCTGCTGTAGACTGGGGAGCTCCTGGTGGAGATGTCCAGACCACCTAGCCCCACTCGGTGCGGCTCCCTAGCCTGTCTGCCCTGAGAACACCCGGCCAGAACATGGGGTGGGGGGCGGGGGGCTGGCACGTGGCCGGCATGTCCAGTAGGATGAGAGCGTGAACTCCGCACAGAAAGGACAGGGCAGACCAGGGAACGCACTGCCAGGATCCACCCCCCGGGTGTCACCCACAGAGCTCAGTTCCCCAAGGCTGGCCACAGTTAGCGCAGTCGGATGTAACATGGATAAGAAGCAAGGAGAATGTGGAACATGCTGCCGAAGAGTGGTCAGGGCGCCTCCAAACCCTCAGGTCGTGGAAAACAAGGCAGCTGAGGCGCTGTCTCCGGTCAGAGGCAATGAAGGCATGTTGCCTGAACGCAGTGTGGGCTGGTGGGCCAGAAAAAGGACATTCGCGGAAAAACTCGGGAAATCAAATAAGGTCTGCGTTTCGTTCGTAGCACTGTCCCGGCCTTGGTGTCCTTGTTGTGACAAATACACGGTGGAGGTGTGAGATGGTAACATGCAGGGAAGCCGGGCGAGGGGTACCCCAACAGCTCCCTGTCCTGCCTTCGCAGCATCTCCACAAACCGACGATTACCCTAAAATAAAAATCTTATTTAAAAAAAAAACCATGAAAGATCGTCAAAAATGACATTGGATGTCATAGTGTGTTGCCAGTTTTGTAGGAACAAAGTACCGTGATTTGGGGGGCCTTAGAACAGAAATTTGTCTCTCACAGCCCCGAAGACCAGGAGTCTAACATTGTCGGCAGGGCCATGCGTGCCCCCTCCGAAGTCTCTAGCAGAGGACCCTTCCTTGTCTCTTCCAGCTTCCGGGGACTCCACGGGTCCCTTAGCTTGTGGCCGTGTCACTCCAGTGCCCATTCTCTGTCTTCATATGACCTTCTGCTCTCCAGCTCTTCTCTCTTATGAGGACACTTGTCTTCAGACTGAGGGTCCATCCTAAATCCAGTCTGATCTCTGCCCACATTCCTTCACCTAATCACATCTGCAGAGAGCTTTTTTCCCCTAATAAAGTCACATTCCCAGGTTCCAGAGATTAGGGTGTGGGGACCGCCCATCAGCCCCCTGTGGATGTTAAGGCCCATAGAATTAGATGCTGCTGGAGAGAGAATCAGAAAGTTAAAAGCTGGG